CCACTTCAGCAGCTTGTCAAGCCATATGGTTAAGAAAAATGTTAGCTGAACTTCAACAAAGGCAAGAGGGAGCAACAAAGATATTTTGTGACAACAAGGCAACCATCTTTATGACAAAAAATCCAGCATTTCATAGCAGAACAAAGCATATAGATATTTGTTTCCATTTCATTCATGATTTGGTTGCGAAGGAGGAGATAACTTTGAAGTACTGTAACACTCAGGAGCAGCGGGCTGATATACTAACGAAGTCTTTGTTGAAAGAAAAGTTTTCTACTTCAGAGCTTTACTTGGCGTTTGCAACTTTGAATCAAGGAAGAGTGTTGAAGAATAATTGAAAGTCTAACTCGGTCTCTTCGGGTTGTTAGTAGTGTCCATATTTTTCTGAGTTTGTTTAGTCAATTGGGTAGTTAATATTGTTGCTAATATTATGCTAGTGGTTGTGGTTGGTTTACGTTAGTGACTTAGTGGTCCACAAAATTCTATTTGATTGTAAGCCTATATATAGGCACATTTGTTTCGGTATTTGATGAATTGAATAAGACAACCCAAGAGTTCAGACTTGCTATATTTCTTTGTTTGCCTATGTTTTTTGTGTTATTCATTTTTATCTCCAACAATGCTGACCAAATTTTAAAACTAAATTTGAAGCTCAAATGACATGATAACATATTATTTGAAGTCTTTTTTAGGGCTCAAATGACATGACACTAAATAAAGAAGCCTAAGTCAACTGTCATGTCATTTGAGCTTTAAATTTGATTCCAAAATTTAGTCAGTGTAGCATTACTGATAGTTTTCATCTTCATTCCTGTTCGCGGGTAAATTTGTAATCTCTGCCCCGCCCCGCCCCGTCCCACGCTTTCACCTCTGCCCCCACCCCCTATCCACCTTGCCCGCCCAAGCCCAAGCCAATATAATCCAAAATTCTAAATAAATATAACATTTTAAATAATTCAGTATAATTATAGAATATCATAACATAATTAAAAATTTGTCATTTACAATATAATATAATTAAAACTTTATCTACAACATAATCCAACATAATATAATTAAAGGTTTATCTCTCTTGTAAATTCAACACAATATCATGCAATACAACATAAATATAACATAAAAAAATATAAAAGCACAAATATCTATTCTTTTACAACCCAAAATCATGAAAAAAAATCAAAAAATAAAATAATTTTTAAAATAAAAAATTATTTAATAATATGTAATTTTGTATTCATAGCAACATGTATATATATATAAAATAATAATAACGGATAAAACATGGTGAGACGGAGGCGGGGCAGGGGTTAGTGTGAGTCTATCCCTGCCTTCATCCCCGTACGAGTTTATACAGGTATTCCTGTATACACGTCCACCGTTCAATACGCATGGTCCACCCTTGATCTAAATGGGACGGGTTTGAACGAATACTCATAGTTCTAAGTTCGAGTCTACTTTAAAAGTCCTGGTAATTGTATTGTGCACATGAAATTGGGAGAGTGCACGTACTCGAGAGGATTACTCGCAAGGGCAAATTTGGTGTGGGGGGAGTATTGTGTCTTATAAATCTTTGGAGTTCCTTGTCTTTCTATTGAGTTTGTGATGTTTAGAGCAGTGTACACACAACTAGTTTACCAGCTTTGTAACATCAAAACACACAAAAAAACATGAAATATAGTTATTATTAATAATACTACATCTAAGAAACAACTTTCTTAATTACATCTAACTTTGTCTCTGCAGATTGGTAATTAATTACTGACCATTCCTGATTGGAGAAGAATCAAACAGAAAAACAAATGATAAAAGCAAGTTAACAAGTCCGGAATCCTATATACTTTTTGGCTACACGATTCGAAAATACTGGAATGCATATAGTTTATGGTCTCATCTGTGGTATCCCGACCCTCCATCACGGTTTAGGATGGGGTACAGGACAATGTCACCATAAAGTGTGCACAATGATTTTTGCACAATAAAAAAAATGATAGATCTCTTCTTTGGCGAACACGAGATTTACTTGAAAGTCAAGGATCTTGAGGTAACATCAAGTGAGAAAGATCGTAAAGAGTGGTGATGAATTACTTTTCAAGTTGTCTATGCGATTCCGACAAGTCGAGAATGAATCAGCTATTCAAAAAAGAGAGTTAGAAGGGCGCCAGAGTTTTTTTTCGACGTAACCCCTCTAACGGTCAAGTCAGTATCTGTGAGAGAGGGGTGAAGACACTGTTGTATTGTTAAGTGAGTTTTTGCGTACCTTTCTTTCCATATTGTGAGAACTACTTATACCTTTCATAGAAGTCATCATTGGTGGTAGGTAGCTTCCCTTAGGGAGAGATTTCCGTTGGTCCATCTGGGAGGCAGTAGGTGGGGGTGAGCAGTCCTTGGGCAGAACACCTCTTGTCCCTCGTGGGAAGTCAATCAGCATTAAATGCTCGGGTCCCCGAGCACTTAATGTCCTTCCACGAAGGTTCTCTGGGCGATAAACACGTGTCATCTTCTTGAAGGACCATTGAATGCTCTTCTGTGATGACTGCGCTCTAGCGAGGGCATTCTTGTCCATTGGCCCCCAACTCTGTACTTTGCGTCACGTGTCCAATTCCCTTTGATCGTTGGTTATGTCTTTTCTGTCATTCTAACTCCTTTGGGAAAACAAGTTATTGATTTATTGTCTAACTCTAACTTTGATAGGCTGCAACCATCAATAATCTATCTTGTGGTTGAGGTGACGTGTCTGAAAATAGACATCGGGATCTAATCACCTTGAGGACACATTGTAAAAGTTTGAGTGCTCCGAGAGCTCATACGTCGAGCACACATGTCCTCCTTTGAATGCTGGAAGTGTCCTTGGTGCCGAGGACACATATCTTCATTAGGATGCTAGAGGTGTTATCGGTGCTGAGAACACATGTCTTCATGAGAATGCTGGAAGTGTTCTCGGTGTTGAAGATATGTGGCAACTCCCTATTCTTTCTCAGAAGCATCCCATCAAAGTGGTAAATAAATTAAATATAACTGAGCGTAGTTCGAATGATAAGATTTGAGTGATTATTACTTTGAGATCCTGAATCTTGGAAGAAGCGTTATAGTTGACATCATGATTTATGAGTGATTGTATATATCCCAAATTTACGTTGCATACACAAGTCTTAAAAAAACGTGGCTTAGACAATTCTCAATTATTAAAAATAAAATAAAAGATTAAAAAAAGAACTACAAATAAGGTATTTAATACGAGTAATGCTACACTGATTAAATTTTGAGACTAAATTTAGAGCTCAAATGATATGACAGTTGATTATTTAAAATTTTTGTTAGAGCCCAAATGACATGTCACTAATCAAACAAGCTCAAGTCCAAGTCAATTATTATATCATTTATTATATTTAATACATCTGATCTAATCAATGCAGATCCAACCAATAGTGGAGGATTAGTATTTATAGCATGGTCAGGCCTACCATTAGATCAGCAACCATTAGTATGGTGCTACAGGAAAGAACATTAATGAATTTGTTTCAGAATTCCAGTGCAGTGTCAATAAAATAAATACGNCCTATCCACCTTGCCCGCCCAAGCCCAAGCCAATATAATCCAAAATTCTAAATAAATATAACATTTTAAATAATTCAGTATAATTATAGAATATCATAACATAATTAAAAATTTGTCATTTACAATATAATATAATTAAAACTTTATCTACAACATAATCCAACATAATATAATTAAAGGTTTATCTCTCTTGTAAATTCAACACAATATCATGCAATACAACATAAATATAACATAAAAAAATATAAAAGCACAAATATCTATTCTTTTACAACCCAAAATCATGAAAAAAAATCAAAAAACAAAATAATTTTTAAAATAAAAAATTATTTAATAATATGTAATTTTGTATTCATAGCAACATGTATATATATATAAAATAATAATAACGGATAAAACATGGTGAGACGGAGGCGGGGCAGGGGTTAGTGTGAGTCTATCCCTGCCTTCATCCCCGTACGAGTTTATACAGGTATTCATGTATACATGTCCACCATTCAATACGCATGGTCCACCCCTGATCTAAATGGGACGGGTTTGAACGAATACTCATAGTTCAAAGTTCGAGTCTACTTTAAAAGTCCTGGTAATTGTATTGTGCACATGAAATTGGGAGAGTGCACGTACTCGAGAGGATTACTCGCAAGGGCAAATTTGGTGTGGGGGGAGTATTGTGTCTTATAAATCTTTGGAGTTCCTTGTCTTTCTATTGAGTTTGTGATGTTTAGAGCAGTGTACACACAACTAGTTTACCAGCTTTGTAACATCAAAACACACAAAAAAACATGAAATATAGTTATTATTAATAATACTACATCTAAGAAACAACTTTCTTAATTACATCTAACTTTGTCTCTGCAGATTGGTAATTAATTACTGACCATTCCTGATTGGAGAAGAATCAAACAGAAAAACAAATGATAAAAGCAAGTTAACAAGTCCGGAATCCTATATACTTTTTGGCTACACGATTCGAAAATACTGGAATGCATATAGTTTATGGTCTCATCTGTGGTATCCCGACCCTCCATCACGGTTTAGGATGGGGTACAGGACAATGTCACCATAAAGTGTGCACAATGATTTTTGCACAATAAAAAAAATGATAGATCTCTTCTTTGGNCTGGAGCAAGGTACACAATCTCATCTCTTCAAGCAAGGTACACAATCTCATCTCTTCAAGCAATTCGCAGCTAGTCCGGTCAGGCATTTGAGTTCGGGTTTTGGAACCGAATTCTTGAATATGAAGATAAAACTACATACCATTTTCAAAAGCAACATCTTTATTAATTCCAAAGAACATTAACAAACAACATTTCAGACTAAGATTTGGAGTTTGTAATGGTAAAACATCAGAGGAGACAAATAGACAAGACATTAGACAAAACCACATACAAGGCTGAGGCTCGATGTCACAAGAAGAAAAGCAGGATGAAATAAGAAACTTAAAGAGCCTTAAGGATCTCTTCAGCACTGGAGACAGTGAATTCTCCCCCAGTTTCTATATTTGCAGCCTTCACCTTGAGGTCATCGATCAAGAGAGCAAACCTTCGAGATCGAATTCCAAGCCCCTTCTCTGAGAGGTCAAGCTCGAGGCCAAGTGCGTGGGTGTATGTTCCTGAGCCATCAGCCAGAAACTTCACATTCTTAGCCTCAGGGTAGGTTTTGGCCCATGCCTTCATCACAAAGGGGTCATTCACTGCAAAAGAAAGTCACCAACAACACAGTTAAAACATATGAACTATTTAGTGAATAACATCCAAATTATTTAGGTTTAGGTATGTTTAAGGGGAAGGGGCTCATGTTTTTCAATGGACTTGGCATTAATCTGAGGCTCACCTGTTCATTTAGAAGATAAAATCTTTGCTCATATTTATTTCGTAAGACAGGGCAAACTACACACACTGGTGGTCCCCAAACCGATAAACAGAAGTAATAGAAAGACGAAATTAAGAAACCACAAGAATATGTTGTCCTATACAAAGTTAATAGATGCGCCCAAATGTCTGCCATTGAAGAATATGAAATCTAAAACCAAAAATAAAGTGAAATGGAAGTTTTGAGTTAATTAAAATTTATATTTTTTTATATATCAAAAATCAAGTCCATTAAATTTTAATACGTAAAAAAATATAATTTTTAATCGGCACAAATTTTAATTAGCTTGAATCGATTTTAATACGTAAAAAAAATTTAGAAAATGGAGGAGGTCTCATTGAATATATGAAGATATGACTATCTATGGGGATGTGGACGAAATTTTTCTTAAAATATATCATAAGAAATTTAGTAAAATTACATTTTAATTAATCCCTTTAATCTGACGGGGCTCTCATTGAAGATTCAGAAAATACAGAGGGTGTTTTTGAAGATATGATAAACTAGAAAGGGTATGGTTAAAATCTTTCTAAAAAAGTATTAATTGTCTACATGACAATCATTATTATTATTATTACAAACTGAAGACCAAAACAAAGACACCCAATTCTAGAATGCTTGCTCGCATAACTCTATTATAAAATATATTATTAGTCGTAGCGTCATTAACTATGAACTGGGTACAAATCTGACCCAAACGTTGGTATGTAAATGTAAAACTTTCTCATCTTTCAACCAAAACCCCTCATGGTTGGACTGTTATTTGGGCAATTTCGTTTGTAATTATGACTTGTTACAACGTCAAAGAAATCAATAATCTTAAACAAAATCAAATGATCTCAATTTCAAGTTAATCCCCAGTTATGCCAACTGAAAGAGCTACTAAAAATAAAGAAAGGGTTTTAAACAGGAGACATTACCGCTGATACACAAAACTTCAACAACGCCCTTTGCTTTCAGCTCATCTGCATTATCAATGAACCCAGGTACATGCTTCACGCTTTAACACACACAAATCACCCAAAAACAATATTTAATTAATTAATAAACAAATAAATCATGATAAGACTGCAAANAAAAAACGTGGCTTAGACAATTCTCAATTATTAAAAATAAAATAAAAGATTAAAAAAAGAACTACAAATAAGGTATTTAATACGAGTAATGCTACACTGATTAAATTTTGAGACTAAATTTAGAGCTCAAATGATATGACAGTTGATTATTTAAAATTTTTGTTAGAGCCCAAATGACATGTCACTAATCAAACAAGCTCAAGTCCAAGTCAATTATTATATCATTTATTATATTTAATACATCTGATCTAATCAATGCAGATCCAACCAATAGTGGAGGATTAGTATTTATAGCATGGTCAGGCCTACCATTAGATCAGCAACCATTAGTATGGTGCTACAAGAAAGAACATTAATGAATTGGTTTCAGAATTCCAGTGCAGTGTCAATAAAATAAATACGTATAATAACTAACAATAGGGTTGACCAACACAATTCTTTAGTTTCTAGAACAGATAATCCCATAGCTTCAAGAACAAATAATAGAGGTGCCCAACTTGTTAAATGTATGAGAATGTATAAGATGTAGAGACGGGTTTAGGATTTTATTCTCCGGTTACCACTTAAATTTTCAGAAAATAAAAAAATTTGACGGGCGAGTTCATTTACTGCTCATTTCCTTTGAGATATGCCACAGCCGAACCATTTAATTAGTTAAATCATTAGATTACAGCAGCATCTCATTCCTGAACTTGCAATTGACACCCTTTTTTTTTCTTCCATATTGTAAGTTATTGTTTGTATCACATAAAGGGTTGATGTCCTTTCAATCTAAAGCTTTCAGCAAAGCCAGAACAACATTTGCTCTGTGTAATATAGTGCACGGCATGCACATTTACACATTCCACCCACACATACAAAAGGTTGAACCTGGAGCAAGGTACACAATCTCATCTCTTCAAGCAAGGTACACAATCTCATCTCTTCAAGCAATTCGCAGCTAGTCCGGTCAGGCATTTGAGTTCGGGTTTTGGAACCGAATTCTTGAATATGAAGATAAAACTACATACCATTTTCAAAAGCAACATCTTTATTAATTCCAAAGAACATTAACAAACAACATTTCAGACTAAGATTTGGAGTTTGTAATGGTAAAACATCAGAGGAGACAAATAGACAAGACATTAGACAAAACCACATACAAGGCTGAGGCTCGATGTCACAAGAAGAAAAGCAGGATGAAATAAGAAACTTAAAGAGCCTTAAGGATCTCTTCAGCACTGGAGACAGTGAATTCTCCCCCAGTTTCTATATTTGCAGCCTTCACCTTGAGGTCATCGATCAAGAGAGCAAACCTTCGAGATCGAATTCCAAGCCCCTTCTCTGAGAGGTCAAGCTCGAGGCCAAGTGCGTGGGTGTATGTTCCTGAGCCATCAGCCAGAAACTTCACATTCTTAGCCTCAGGGTAGGTTTTGGCCCATGCCTTCATCACAAAGGGGTCATTCACTGCAAAAGAAAGTCACCAACAACACAGTTAAAACATATGAACTATTTAGTGAATAACATCCAAATTATTTAGGTTTAGGTATGTTTAAGGGGAAGGGGCTCATGTTTTTCAATGGACTTGGCATTAATCTGAGGCTCACCTGTTCATTTAGAAGATAAAATCTTTGCTCATATTTATTTCGTAAGACAGGGCAAACTACACACACTGGTGGTCCCCAAACCGATAAACAGAAGTAATAGAAAGACGAAATTAAGAAACCACAAGAATATGTTGTCCTATACAAAGTTAATAGATGCGCCCAAATGTCTGCCATTGAAGAATATGAAATCTAAAACCAAAAATAAAGTGAAATGGAAGTTTTGAGTTAATTAAAATTTATATTTTTTTATATATCAAAAATCAAGTCCATTAAATTTTAATACGTAAAATAATATAATTTTTAATCGGCACAAATTTTAATTAGCTTGGATCGATTTTAATACGTAAAAAAAATTTAGAAAATGGAGGAGGTCTCATTGAATATATGAAGGTATGACTATCTATGGAGGTGAGGACGAAATTTTTCTTAAAATATATCATAAGAAATTTAGTAAAATTACATTTTAATTAATCCCTTTAATCTGACAGGGCTCTCATTGAAGATTCAGAAAATACAGAGGGTGTTTTTGAAGATATGATAAACTAGAAAGAGTTTGGTTAAAATTTTTCTAAAAAAGTATTAGTTGTCTACATGACAATCATTATTATTATTATTACAAACTGAAGACCAAAACAAAGACACCCAATTCTAGAATGCTTGCTCGCATAACTCTATTAAAAAATATATTATTAGTCGTAGCGTCATTAACTATGAACTGGGTACAAATCTGACCCAAACGTTGGTATGTAAATGTAAAAATTTCTCATCTTTCAACCAAAACCCCTCATGGTTGGACTGTTATTTGGGCAATTTCGTTTGTAATTATGACTTGTTACAACGTCAAAGAAATCAATAATCTTAAACAAAATCAAATGATCTCAATTTCAAGTTAATCCCCAGTTATGCCAACTGAAAGAGCTACTAAAAATAAAGAAAGGGTTTTAAACAGGAGACATTACCGCTGATACACAAAACTTCAACAACGCCCTTTGCTTTCAGCTCATCTGCATTATCAATGAACCCAGGTACATGCTTCACGCTTTAACACACACAAATCACCCAAAAAAAATATTTAATTAATTAATAAACAAATAAATCATGATAAGACTGCAAATAATCAACATTTACAAACAATTAAACAGATCCCACACATTAGAGCACGGCATCCTCGTAGATTTCGCCTAACAAAAATCCCCAGTTTCTGGTAAGTTTACCGGCAACAGACGCCGCAAAACACTTAAGACACTAAATGCTACACGGAGAGAGTGAGAGAGAGAGGTTTACCTGCAAGTGGGAGTGAAGGCGCCCGGAACGCCAAAGATGACGACCTTTTTGCCGGCGGCGAGGGAGTGTATAGACATTTGTTGCATCTGATCTTCCGCGTCGAAGTACGCAAGGGTTCCGTCGGGAATCGCATCGCCAACAGCAATCGGAGCCATGAACTTGACCGTCGGTTTTGATGAAAAGAAATTTGATCCAACAATGTGGAGACGAGATATCTGTAGATGAAGACTGTCCGCGTACGAAGGGGTTTTTATAGGGTGTTACTGTTAGTGTGGGTGTGTGTTTGTGAAGTTAATTGAATTTACTAGAAGTTTGGCGTCCGGCCTTGGTGGGCCCCATTTAGTATGAATAATTGGTCAAACACTAATGCTGCGGTTCCGCCGTTGTGAGTTATCGGTGGTGGCTACTTTGACTTGTTATGGTCTGTCATATTTAAAATTGAGTGTACCAAATTTATAATTTAAATTTGTATCTTAAATTAAAGAGGATCATTAAATTAGTAGATCTTATTAATTTTTTTAAATGAGATACATATTATTACCTTTAAAATTTCTAAAATAATTGAATCTAATAATTCATATTCATTTTAAATTGATAAAATAATTATCCATGTGTCCCTCGAGCAATGAATTAACTATGCAATTTGGAATTAAATAATAAAAAAAATCCCACCATTATAACTCCACGTCTCACCCTCATAAATTCATATAATAAAATAAAAAGGTATTTAAATTTTTATCTTACACACATTTTTTTTCCTCAAAACTATCTTGTCACACACATCATCACCTCCCTCTTAACATTATTCTATGCACTTAATACACAGCGCCAGACACGTTACTCTATGCACTAAATACACAGCGCCTGACACACGCAATCTACTGCATCGTTTCTCTTTTCTTTTTTTTCCCACCCTCTCTTAGTCCTTACTCTCTCTCCNGCACTCTCTCTATTTCGGATTATCGTTACCCCTTTACACAGCACGCACACACACACACACAAACACAACCACTCTTCTACCATTTTAAATTTTTTTATGGAATTTTAAATGTGCTATAAATTTCGCGACGNACCGCCACTTCGTCAGCAACACCGCTAGCAACCTAGCAGACCCCTACCCTTCTTTCCCCTATGCGCAAAAACCCTCCCCCCATTCCTCTTCTTTGCAAACACCCGCTCCTTAAAGACCCAACACAACACACCCCCTTCTGCGCAAAGAACACACACAAACACAGCACGNTCTCTGCCCAACCTACACTCACACAGACCAAATAACAACAACAACACACACACATTGATTTTTGTTTGCTATACTATTGTGTCCCAATTTCAATTTTCAATTGAGTTTGCTCTTTTTTTTGTCATTTGAGTATGCTCACAGTTTTGTTAATTTTCATTTTTTGGACTTCCTCACAAGATGTTTGAAAAAATGATTGACAAGGTTTGGTTTTGCTTTAATTTATGACATTATATTTTCAAATGATATTCTATCAAAAATTTGAAAGTTTTTTATATTTTGACCCTTTTTATTTAACTAAAGTCATTACACTAAAAATGACCAACTGCATGTTTTTAGTTTATTACGTGTCTGAGTTTAGTGCTTGATTATTTTGCGTTCAAATTCAATTTTTGTTGCAGCATGCCNTGCCACCCCTCTCCCGCCCTCCTTCTACCTTTCTCATACACAAACAGCACACCCAAATCCCTCAGCCATCACACTCACAGACCCACACAAAGCCTCTCAGCCAACATAGAAATAAACTACACACACAAATGCAACCCACTCTTCACCCACGCACACATACTGTCAGATTCTTTGAAGAGAAAATTACACCTTTAAGCCGTAATAAAGCGAGTGCTGTGGAAAGGGATAAAGATATGGAAATGAGAAATATCCTGACTTACCTTATTATTATTAGTAGTCGTTGTGTTGGCATCTGCTTCGGCTACAATGTCTGAAACTTCAAAATGACATCTCCTCTTCCTTGGCTTTGGAGTAGGAGGAGCAGAATGAAAATTTTAAATTCAAAACCAGAGAGAGAGAGAGAGAACAAAGCCAAAATTGTTTTCTGAGACGTAATTAATGGAGCCAACAAAGATGTTGGGGGGTAATGTTGTGGAAAAGGAAAAAAAAATGGTAGACGAACAGGATAAGAAAGATGGAATTGTTCTCTTTTTACTGCATTGTTTTACTCTCTATTTTGGTAGAAACAGAGTAGACAGAGTAGAGTTAATTACTTACAATTGGGGTGGATTGTCTCCATGACAAGGACCCGCATGTTTGTGTGAGGATCTTCCTTGCTGCTCTCTTCAGTTTCAATGATGCTCCCACCATTCCCGCACTCTCTCTATTTCGGATTATCGTTACCCCTTTACACAGCACGCACACACACACACACAAACACAACCACTCTTCTACCATTTTAAATTTTTTTATGGAATTTTAAATGTGCTATAAATTTCGCGACGAGGTCAATTTTGACGTAAGATTAGAATACACATAATACCCACCTTTCTTTCACACACACATAGAGAACAAACACATCTACACACTCTTTCGTCTCTGCCCAACCTACACTCACACAGACCAAATAACAACAACAACACACACACATTGATTTTTGTTTGCTATACTATTGTGTCCCAATTTCAATTTTCAATTGAGTTTGCTCTTTTTTTTGTCATTTGAGTATGCTCACAGTTTTGTTAATTTTCATTTTTTGGACTTCCTCACAAGATGTTTGAAAAAATGATTGACAAGGTTTGGTTTTGCTTTAATTTATGACATTATATTTTCAAATGATATTCTATCAAAAATTTGAAAGTTTTTTATATTTTGACCCTTTTTATTTAACTAAAGTCATTACACTAAAAATGACCAACTGCATGTTTTTAGTTTATTACGTGTCTGAGTTTAGTGCTTGATTATTTTGCGTTCAAATTCAATTTTTGTTGCAGCATGCCTTCAGGCACGGATTATCCCTAGTTATTTAATATAACAGTAATATTAGATCAATAATAAATTATATATAACATTAAATAACGTGAATTCACTCATCTACATGATATTTAATTATTAATTAGTGATATTATGTATCAATGATCACCAATCAAAACCTACACTTACCATATTTACAAAAATGAACTTTGAATGCATAATTAATCGTTAATTATGTGCATCACTTAAACTCGGGTTTTGCAGTTAAAAAATTCTAACTTAAAACCTGCAGAGTTATATTATTTTATGTAAAATTAAAATAANACAGAGTATTTCTCTTGACACGTGTTGCTTATCTTGGAGTGTCTGAAAATGTCCCATCAGCTGGTCTGATAGCTGTTGGTGCTGGAGTGGAGGTTGTCTGGTCGCTGGTCTGATTTCTGTTGGTGCTAGAGAGGAGGCTGGTCTGCTCGCTGGTTGGTGGTGGAGGCGTTGCTCACTGCTCAGCCGACTTGATTGTGTCGTCTGGTCTAGACTATGGAACGAATTAGGGCAAAACAAAAGGGGGAAAAATGCCCAAATGAAAAAAATTCTCATATTTATAGAATGAAATTAAACCGGACGATTTGTTAAAATCGTCCAGTTCTCGTGGATTTACCGATTTTTGACTGGTTCAACAGTTTAGTCTGGGTTCCTTATATAGACCCAGACCGGTTAGGGGACCGGTTCACTGGGTTGACCCGTTGGNAAGTTCTCATGGATTTACCGATTTTTGACCGGTTCAACGGTTTAGTCCGGGTTCCTTACATAGACCCAGACCGGTTAGGGGACCGATTCACTGGGTTGACCCGTTGATCCAGGTCGGGTCGGGTTTTAAAACGCTGGTTTTAGTGAGATCCATTGATTGATTTATTTACATATTAATGAATTATTATACTATGTGACACTACTGATATATTATAACAATTACGTCCAATATTTTTTTCTTAAATCACATAGGAGGATGTGGTTATTCTATAACTATATGCCTTGTCATTTGAATTAGGAGTAATATTATTTGGATTTAAAAATTTGATTTAATTTATTGACATAATGATGTGACTTTATAGTAATCATTGGATTAATACTATATTCTAATATTTAATGAAGTCTACAATAAATTCAAAGATCCCGATAAATTAAATCAATAAATTATATTCTAATAATATTGCTCTTTTGAATTAGTCAATCCNCTATACAGAGGATAACAATATTACAGGGAGTCGAATTTTAGTGCCCACGGTTATTACTTAAAAACAAACCGACTGTGAATGAATTGAGACAACGATCAAACCAATTTTAACATCTTTCTGTACACTCACATGTTCCATATTCTACGAAAAAAGGAAAAATATAACGGCCTGAACGTCATTTTACCAGTGTAGCAATAACACAGGCTTTGAAAATGCTTAATGTAAAATATATACCATCTTTCTCCATAGACACAGGTGTTGTATCTGTTGAAAAAAAGTCAGCTACATCAAGTTGAGGACCATGACAAAAAATTTCAACCTCGTGCTGGATTGAAGCGCAAAAATAGACAGAGAAAAAGGGGGGAGAGAGAGAGAAAGGAAAACTCACTGGATCTGGTTTGGTCGCTGCTGGGGTTGGAGTGAAGGTTGGTGTGCGTGCAGGATCTTGTACAATAGAAACACGAGAATAGATCTCTCCCGTGGTGAACATGAGTCAGTTAATCGAATGGTCAACCTTGCTGCTTGGAACAGATTGTGAGGACCGGTGGTTATCTGGAACGATAATGGGTGACTTTTGTGGGTTGTCGGAGCAATCCAGTAAGGCTGAAGGAGGCTCTTGAAACAGAGAAAAACGAGTTAGGAGGGCGCCGGAGTGTTTTTTGGCGTATCTCCTCCGACGATCAAGTCAGTTCCTTGAGAGAGGGGAAGAAGAAAACACTATGTATAGGTTTGAGAAAAGGTTTTTGCGCACCTTTTTGCCTTTTGTGAGGGATATTTATACCTTCAAAACTCATGATTACTGTCAGTGTGGTTAGTAGGTGATCATTAGAGGAGGGTAACATGAATACTGGTTCTCAGGAGAAATGACATCTCTCTTAACTGCTCGGGATCCTAAGTAACCAATGTATCACCCTCGGTTTGTCGAACATTTAATGACCCTCACTCGGCAGGGGTGTATTAAATGGTTAGTCACAGGAGCATTTATTGTCTTTCACTTCCTTGTCATCACGCGTTAAATGCTGTCTTATCAAGGAAAGGTGCATTAAATACTTGTTTTTTCAAGTCGTGTGTTAGCAAGGGCGTTATGGTCTTTTTG